ATTAAAAAATATAATATATTACATAATATTAAAATATTTATAATATATTAATTTATTAATAACATACTAGTAATAACATAATATTAAAATTATTAATAATATTATATTATATGAATAATAGTATAATATTATATTATATTATATTAATAATAGTATAATATTATAGTAATAATAAAATAATATTATTATAAAAATATTAATATAATATACAACAATAACAAATTGATATACTAAAATAATTAAATATATAATTATTTAAAAACAATATGTAATAATTATAATATAATATAACTCATTAAAGTACAATATAATATTGTAATACATTATACAATATTATATTGCATTACATTTAATACTTATAATACTATAATAATGTAAACTAAATATTATAATATTTTATTTATAATATATTTTATATAATATATTAATAATATATTTAATGCTAATGTTATAATGGGTCAAACCAATGCTGACCAAAAATACTTATGATGTTTTGAAAACATTTTAAGGTAAAAACACAACAAGAAAAACACTATCGTATCCAAACAAATCCGTTTCCCAACCCTAACGACTTAAATTACTTTAACTATAGCAGAACTACATGTGTAGACACTATTCACTGTCCAAAAAAACATTGAACGATGTAGAAGACGTAAAAAGAATCGGAAGAACGCTATATTTTATGTGAAGGAGAAAGAAAATGAAAAGAAATTTAGAGGGGAAAAATAAACCGGTAAACGTGCCAGTTTATTAGACCTGTAACAAAAAATAATTAAGTAGAATTTGAATATAAACGGAAATTGAATGATAAATTAGCAATATGAATATTTTGAGGCTTAATCCAAAAATTCTAAATATTTGAAGCGCATGAATAAAGAAAATAAAACCTACAATGAATTATTTGAAACTTTTAAAGGAAATTTTGAAATTTATCTTGATATCAGTCCAGGCCTCGTGCAGTTTCTGCCTAGCCTCGCCAACGGTCTGCCGAGGAAACTCTTATTACGTAGACAAATTTAGAGGATAAATTGACAAAATTAATATTCAAATGAAAAATGCAATTTTTACAAACATGTTACTCATTCATACAGATAAGTTGTGGATTGACCGGCATATGGATCTGAGACATGGTTCCACATGTAAAACAATTCATATATTTTCACACCAGTTTTCTTGGATTATATGTCCATCGGAGATCAATCAAAACTTTGTTGTGAGATTGTCTATTTCTCCGAAATTTCAACACTCCCAGCTGATGCTTGATTTGCTGCACGATTGCTTCCAAAAGTCTTTCGGTTCGATTCTCTTGCAATTCTTGAACCGAACTGTATGTCAGAAATAGCAAGTTCGTTAAACCTTCACAAAGTTCGGGATTAAATTTGAAATATAAAAATTTGCAATAGATGCAATGTGTATTCTTTGATACATGGTGAGAGTAAACTTCGTACCTGAATGGCTCTTTTGGGTAGAAGAGATGCTCCTTCAATGCCAAGCAATCTTGCAACCTGTCACACAATATATAGAAATTTAACCAAATATCTAAAAGATTTTCTTTAGGCTTCCCTTTGAATATTCAAGTATATATCAAGGCCAAACATTTGCTCAGTGTACATAGTATCACATGGCGGTTTGAAATCTAAGATAGGTCATATTTTGGTAAACTTACCTCCCTCAAAATTTTTTTATCTCCTCTTCCAGCAGGTTCGTCGAGTTCAGCAATCTCCCACAAGGGAAGTTCCAGCAGAGATTTAATTACATCCTCATCCAGAAATGGAAATCTAGCCTACAATAGATAAAAACAGGAAAGGAAAAATATAATCACTCAAACTTTTGAAAAGTAATTTGTGAAAAAGAAAAAAAAAGCATAAAAACGGTTTAAGTGGTCTATACCTCCTTTCCATGGTCAGAGATGCACCTGTCATCTCTGCCCAAATTCCTTCTCCAAATTCTCTGCATATCCAATTTCATTTCTTCTTGCAATGCAAACCATCTGACGGAAAATTAAGTTAATGAATGGGTCACAAATATCTAATGGCCAAATAAATTTAAAGATTAAGCATATAATCATGTTGCCCTGCTAAAAGACAAATTGGAAACTGTGTGAAGGGTGGCAAAAGGTAACTCACTGTAGTTTGGTAACATAAATATATAGAGTGGATTATATGCTACTACAGTCAAAAAAACCAGATGAAAGGTGAAACTCAAACACTGCACTTAGAGGTGCATTTTGAGATCCGATAAGATTGAAAAGGCAGACCGCTTATGTCAAAGCCTATGGAGCAAGATCTAACTCTATCCTCCCTCATTAAATGATGACATTCATCACTATGAAGCACGGACACGGACACGGCGACAACACGGACACAGACACGACAAAACCCCCAAAAAAAAGGACATGGCAACACGGCTAGATTTTTTAATATTATTATTATATATAGATCAATATTGAATTAAATTCCTATACATTTTCATATTTTTTGTTATGTAAAGTGGAGATTATAAATAAGAAACTAAAGGAAAGTGTGTGTTGCAGGTGTGAATTAAGATGTCGGGATGGCAATGATCTCTTGAAGAATTGAAGACAATAATGTTAAAGAAGACAAGAAAGAGAAGATGAACATATAGAAAAATAGATCAATTTTTATGTTATATTATTATGTAACATTGGCTTGTATAATCCACTGCCACTAAAACTCCTGTCTTGTTCCATTTCTGTAAAATACAATGGCAATAACAATAAACTAAAAAATTAATAATAGTAAAACACTAACTAAAATCATAATTAACAGTAAATTTAAAAATAAAACCCTAATTAATCAACAATAAATTAATGAAACACGAACCCTAATTAATTAACTATAAATTAACATAAAACAATAAATTAAAATGAAAAAACAGTAAAATCCTACTATTGTTACAAAATATAAATCCTAGTTCTCATTTATATGTTATTCTAGCATTTTTATGTTATTCTCACATTTTTATACAGTAAGGAGATAAAAACAGAGAGAATTAAAATAAAAAAACAATAAAAAGAGAGAGAATCAGAGAGAGAAAGAGACCTATAAAAACGGAGGGAGAGATCGGAGAGAGGAAGTAGGGATCGAAAAAGAGAGAATCGGAGAGAGAGAGAGGGGAAGAGATCGGAGAGGGAGAGAGAGAGAGAGAGAGAGCGATTGTGAGAGAGATCGAGAGATCGGAGAGACTGAGAGAGAGAGAGAGAGGAAGTCACAGATCGGAAAAGAGAGAGAATCAGAGAGAGAGAGAAAGGAAGTCACAGATCGGAAAAGAGAGAGAATCAGAGAGAGAGAGAGAGAGAGAGAGAGAGAGAGAGAGAGAGAGAGAGGGAGAGAGAGAGAGAGAGAGAGAGAGAGAGAGAGAGAGAGAGCGCCGCCGAGCACGATCGATGACAGCGAGTATCGAGAACGACGATGGGGGCGATTTTCTTTCCGTCGGGACCGAAAGAGAGAGAGAGATGACAAGCGATCGGGTGAGTGGAAAGTTAAAACTAGGGTTAGGGATTTGGGTTTGGGTTTCGGGTTTCGGGTTTGCGGGTTTTCTTCCATTTCTTTTTCTCCCTCTCAGCCGTGTCGAGAAGGATTCGCCGTGTCGGGAGCGTGTCGAAGCGAGTCGGCGGCGTTGACCGCGTGTCTGACGCGTGTCGAACGCGTGTCCGACGCGTGTCGAACGCGTGTCCGTGTCCGACGCGTGTCGGAGACGGACTCACCGGCCATTTTGAAGAGTCGATGCTTCATAGATTCATCACTCATTAGATCTTGATCCATAAAGTTCGTTCAACGGTTAACAATTGAGTGGACAAACTCTCATATCCACTAAAATGAATACTAGTACATAAGATACTGACATACATACAAATGTATATCCAATGGAATATGGATATCAAATATCCATATCTATATCCTACTGGAGACAAATGCGAGCATACCTACGAATGTTTACATCCATTTGCTCCCTTCCACATGATTATCGATGTGGTGCAGCCACCTATAACCAAACACTGACTTGAGGTACAATGCAAGTTTTGACTAAGTTTGGTAAGGATGCTAAATGCAAGGAGAATGTCATACCACCCTCAATTGAAATAAGCATATCTCGAGAAAGAGCAATGGTAGAAATAAGCATGCTCAAGTGAAATCAGGATCAGAAAGAGCAAACCACTTGAAAGACCTTGTCCTGAACATTACAACATTAACAACTACAAGTCCTTTTTTAATGACCTCAATCCATGCTCATTTAGGCTTATGCCCAGACTCCATTGATCGTTCTATATAGCAATTGCTGGTCTTTATTACAACATGCCAATGAGTTCTTGTCATTTCAAGCTCAATCAGCTCCAAACTTCATGCATAAACATTAGTATTTTATCCCATCTTTAGCATTATCATATCTTATATGTTACTATGTTACCCTTTGAAATATTGTTTTAGTTGTCCGACATTCTTAAGCATGATTAGTTGTTCTTAAAAAAAATCTTAAGCATGATTAGTTAACATTCTTCATGCATAAGTGCTAATACTTTCTCATCTTTAGCATTCTCATTTCATCTATACTACACTTTGAATATTGTTTCAGTTTGTCCGACATTCTTACGCATGACTAGCCATGCTTAAAAAAATTACATTCAACTCATAGCTATATTCCATGATCATCAACAATATCCACAAGCACTTTAATCTGTACTAAACCATGCTTTATTTCTGAGAACATTACCCACGCTCCATTGTTAAATTGAACTTGATCGTAAGCGGTGGAAACACTTTTTCCTAGGTACCACCTAGGTAGCATGAGAGCGAGCTATAATAACACTTCTCTCACTATTTTGCAAAACATATGTTCCATAATCCATATACCGAAGTGTCACCTACAATTTCAAACTTCTTAATTCTAAACATTCGGCCCACATTTTTTCTTTTATATTTTTTAAAGGATTTTTTCTTTTTATTTGATGGGGGAAAATGAACATACCCTTAAAGAAAGGAAAAAAATACAATTACTTGTGGTTGAAAGCTCTATAAGAATTTAATCCTACCAAAATTGCAGCATAAGCTCTACAATTACTTCTGCCCACTTCTTATGTTAGAAATTGTCCTTCCCTAATCTCACCCACTAATACTATCAATCACAAACTACATACACTGGTAACAATTTGATGGTACTTTTATCCTAACTTGAGCAAAGAGACGAATGCTTAACCTTGGTTCTCAATTCAAGCGTCATCCTAGTTTCTTTCATCATATCAACAGCTAAGTGATACCGGATTGTTCTGAAACTAGTTACTAACTTCACTTTTTATATCTTTATTTCACCAATAGAAGTAGAAGACAATTGTTTACTTCTATAAACCACCATGTAATGTCCTGAGATGACCTTAATAAGCTATTTACAGCTGAAAGGTGCAGTTGTAGAAAGACATTAATGAGCAACCTTAAATATCACTTTCCCCTGTGAATTAGAAGGCACAAAATTAGCTGTCTGCAAGTACAACTGAGGTATAGCATAATAAGGATTCATAAGTAGATGTAGTTATCAGAATTTAACACATACCCTCCCTTTCTATATTTTGTCTTATGCCTGCCATACCCAGCACACTGCTCATCAGCACCAGAACCAACAAAGAGAACCTTTGCTGATGACTTGTATCTATAACGACAGGGCTCATCCTGAAAACTACAAATTTCTCCATCCACCCATCCATCTCCTCCAGCAGCTAGCCACAACGCAATGCCAATATTAATATCCTGCAACAGGGGAAAAAAGGTTCAGATGCTGTAAAACAACTTAGTAGAGTACTGAATCAAGATAACATACTGCAGTCAGTAAGCTTCATCACCTGTCATCATTTAGACAGGTGAAAATAGCATTTAACATGTTATTGCTTTAAGTATTATATATCTTTTTCAGGACTCCTATATGGAAACACGTGGATTTGCAAAAAATCATACGATTGAAGCAAATACTATTAGGACATTTCACAATAAATAACAGAATCAATTTGGTACTGCAGTTTAGAAAGTCTGGATTGAGTCTCTATAGAAGAGAAAAGTTTTTGGATATAGTAATTGAGAAAGTCATTGGGTAGACGGAAAGAATGCCCACTTAGACATTACAACAGAAAGACGACAATGTTGCAGCAATATATTGCAGCAATATATTATTATAAAATAATATGAAGGAAAAACGAAAAACAAAATTCCATTCGAACATATTAAATATTAAGGTAACAAAAGCTAATGTCCTTTGTAAGTTCTTCTTGGTTACAACTTAAATAGGTGAACAAAATCAGAAAAATCTCAAAACGTGATGAAGAGAAAGTATGCATGTCACATTAAAGTTATAAAATAGTACTGAATTACCACCAAGTGGGATAACACATACCATGTAGGTCTTAGCAGGATGTATAAGTGACCTCAGGTGCTTGATTTCCCAGGTCAAACCGGACAATGTAGAGTCAATCTCCACAAGCCGCCATCTGAAATCTAAATAAGCTACTGATTGGAACTTGAATAACAAGATGCAAAACTCCACAAAGAAACAATACAAATAAAGATAGAAATTCCTATGAGACCAAATATTCACAAAAAGCAATAAATTTTCTCAAGTTTGCAAAAAAATAAACACTTACCGATAACAATTTGGCTTCCAGTGGTGAGGTATCAAGCTATGAAACTCAACAACCAACAGCAATTTAAGGATTTTTATATTTATAACATTACTTTTTTTCTCCAAGTATGATTCAGTTTCTAAAAACAACAGCTGACCAGGAACATTTGGAAGATGATATTATCCAGCTTTATCATAAAAATTGCTACTAACCATATATTATAACTCAAATTCAGATTTATATAAACAAATCATTCGCTTAACATTGTTGGCACAAACTTGCTTTGGATCCAGCAAATAATGGCTGTTGGGGTTACACTAGATTCAAGATATCTCTTACCAAAAAGACAAAGCACTTCAATTAAAAGAGAACATACATAATGGCCACACAGGCTCCAGTGAAGACAAATTACAAATAGATACAATTACAAACATCCTTTATCTTTCACTTGTGCTGTGTAGTGTATGGGCAAGTAAATGGGTGGGTGAGTGGATGGATGGGGGAGGAGCGAGGAGGTTTAAACCTCAAATCTCAAAAGGAATCTTAACTTGAGAAGCATGAACAGAAAACTCATTTGTATTCAAGATGATCTAAATCTTTTCTCCTCATGAATATCTTGAAAGCAGAAAAGTTCACACCTCAAAGGAAATCAGGATGCCAACATATGATGGTATAAATGACTATTATAGATATCCATGAAGGTATTGATGTAATTTCTTTTCTTTTATATCATCCAAGTCCCAAAAATTTTGGTAATGAGAATAGTACACTACAAGTTCTCAACGGCGAATAGACAATATCAACAAAATATGAAAACAGAAATAACAAACAACAAAACCATATAAAAATATTGCCAGTGAAATAAAAAAATAATAGCTCCATTCATTTTCAGATAGCATCTAATTACCAAAAAAAAAAAGAAAAGTAGTCCCATGAATCAATAACATACACAAAAAGGGCCAGGTCAAAGAAATAATTCTAGGCTAAGATGGATACTACCTCCTAGATGGAGCAATTCTTTGGAGTTCCTTTACTCCCATCCTTGCTGAAACTCTGTCCGGAGCAAGTTGACCGTCAAAGCTTACATTCAAGAGATCTATTATGTCTGTCAAAACAAATCAGATCAGCCACCAACTCATTCACTGGCCGCAGGAAAAACATAAGCAAGACATAGAATTTTTCTTTTGCATTAAAGGAACTGACGTCTGCAAAATAAATAGAGAAGGCAACAAAGAAGAGAAAAGCATGTAGAATCCACTGTTTCTTTCAACTTAGTTCAGATATTGAACCTAATATCATATTTGGTATAGGAGAATATGGGTGTTGAATAAGTATACAATTCAGGTTTTACTAAATAAGTCCAAGAGGTTGGAAGAGAAAAAACGGGTTTGGCCTTTAACTTTTTAGCCCATTTACATAAAAATGATAAGTTTGAAATCACATTAATTTGTCTTGTGAGTACTTGAAATTCTATAATATTAATAGCAAATAGACAATAATTCTTAGTATTGTTTTAAATATCGGTCGACGCATCATTTGTAACTTTTGCCACAAAACAATAATATTTCAGTATAATATATTGTCTATTAACAAATTTTAGGCAATATATCAAGAAAATCCTGATATATAAGGCAGCATTCAATCCTAAAACTTCGCAATATTGGTTTTGACTTTTACTTGTTTTACATGTTAGATTTGGACTTATGGCAAAATTGAGGCATAAATCTAAACCAGTACTCACTTAAAATGCCTAAAAAAGGAAATTTAGGACCCAATCAGACCCAAATTCTTCTACAACAGTTTCTGACCATTTGCTTTAAGTTGGACTGTGCTGTAGCATCACCTAATTGTGCCTTCATCTTCTCTTCCTTGATTGCTTGCAGCTGACAAGTTACTCTCTGTCTAAACCCCTCACCATTTATTAAATCTCTCTCCCCATTTTCATCGTGGATCATGAATGCTGTATGAAACTATGGCTCCAAAAAGTGTTGAAAAGGCTTAAGATTTAAATACAAAATATATTTAATCCGACCATTATACCTCGAAATATTAGTTACTTTTTTAATGAAAAATATATCATTGTTTCTTTACAACTCCATCATCTCATGCATCAAGTATAGACATATAAAGATACACACACACACACACATTATCTGATATGATACTCTAATAGTTACAAAATATCCCCAGTACATTCCCAACAACTGCCATCCGATATGGAAATTTTCCATTTGACCTGTCCCTGAAATCAGACATTGAGAACACTAGAACACTAATTCTCGGACACTAGTTCAAATATAATTTGGAGTGTGTCAAAAATGTCTTACTCTAACACACAGATATGAGGTGTAAAACAATGACATTCTTAAATAAGTATATATATTCAACTTATATAAATATATGTATTGGATTGTTGTTTACAAACGAAAAACCTAAGATAGGAATGACCTACCCTCATAGCTTCTTTTGTCAAAGCGGGGGAAAACCATTTCATTCTATAGATGTTTCTTAGGTGAACAGGGGTGAATAATTCGTAAGTGCTGGATATGTATGAACAGCCCAACCAAACTGGACACACCAATTTTAGGTTTAGGGAAAAGTGTCTGACTACCTGCCAAGGCTGCCATAACTATATTCAACAAAAGATGTTACCATATATTTGAATGTCATTCAGATATTTCAGATAATTAAACACAAGCAACACAGATAGTAATATTTTAAGAAAATAGTACATCAATAGAAGGTGATATACTAATAAATTGATAGTCCGACAAACCTTTTAGTGCACCAACGATGAAAATGACAAGGTAAAATTGATAAAATACAACTCCAGGATGACATGATTGATGATTTTCCCTCCAACCAGACTACATTGTACCAAGTCCTCTTTAACCCACATAAAGGTAGCTCTTTATCACACGCTAAATGTACATTATGAAAATATAACATTAAGTTACCTCTTGCTCTCTGGGAGATTGCAGCTTATTAAATCAGTGTTACATAGTATGCATGCAGCATGCTTATTGGGCAGTATCTTTCTTCTTCCAAAAAAAAGATAATTAGAACTATTGAACAGATATGTCGTGACTTTCTTTGGACTCGTGCTTACGGGAGTCAGTTGAAAGCAAAAGTAGCCTGGTCTCAAGTTTGCAAACCAGAATAATATGGTGGTCTTGGTATTCACTATTCAGAATATGTGCTTATTGAATACAGCTCTCATTCTCAAGCATATTTCTTTGGTCTATTCTCCTTAAAACTGATTCACTTTGGGTGAAGTGAATCCATGACTATTATCTTTCCAATAATGATTTCTGGGGTATAGAGATTAGGAGCCACTTCCATTGGTCTTTAAGAAAACTTTTGCATTTAAGAGAAGATGGTTTAAAGTGTGTAGACACTACTCGAGATACTGCATTTTAGAAATATGTGAAACCTCATTTTAGCTGTGCTGCAGCATTAAGCAACTTTATGGTTCTTCCGATGATTCTTCTTTTTTTGCTCTGGTATGGAATAAGTACTCTTTACCTTAATGCTGATGATATTTCCCCTTTAGTGAGTTATGAATTGAAACAGGAGAGCATTTGTTCTTCACTTGTATGCGCAGTGCTCAACTGTGGAGGAAAGCAATGGCATTTGTGCAAGAAATTAATATCCCTTTCCAACTGGTCTGATGCTATTTAGTGGGCGAGAAATAGTTGGAAAGGAGGTAAGGCTATTAGAGGCATTAAGCGAGCAGCCAAGGCCTCTTGTATATAGCGAGCAGCCATGGCCTCTTGTATATAATATATATCACATTTGGGTTCCACAATCAGATAATCTTTCAGCAGAAAGAGAGAAAAGTAGAGAAGTTCTTTCGGCTGCTTGAGTATAAAGTCAAAATCCAGTGTAGTAGAGTTGGCAAAATGAAGAACACAGTGAGGAATAGATAATTGTGCTCTCGAATGAGATTATTTTCAGAGTTTTGTCATCAAAGATGAGAGAGGTTTTCTTTTTTCTTTTTTGCTTTTTTAAAAGGAAGTTATAGTGACTGCATATATGGTGAGCTTTGATTTGTTTTGCACTCTTGGTTGTACAGAGTCTAAGAGTATATAGAGAGTACGTACATACATGGTTTTTTGGTGAATTCGAGTATATACTTACCAAAATAAAAGTTACCTCTTGCGACCTGTTTCAGCTAGTAAACGCATTATCTTCGCCCAACACATGCACATTTAGGCAGACATGGGAATAAAACTCATATGGAAAAATATTGCACATAAGCTAGCAGGTTTTGTTTACATTGTCCGAATAATATTTCTTTGTATGTATGAGTTAACAATGCCAGCAATAATTTCTTGAAGTCCATTAATATCAACTTAGTTATAATTATTTGCCATTTTGCATTAGCTTCAAAACCTTTCCTTAACAAGCATTCCTGTCAAAATTAACTACATCATCTTATCTGTTACCCACAATTATTAGGGTAAATTCTACAAAACTACCCGTGAACTATTAGGGGTTTTGCATAAATCACTATCATAAACTATATTTAATAGAGAAAACAACCACAATCTTCCAAATCAATGGAAACTAATACATACTACTACAAAAATTTATGGTAATTTTATGATACTACCTGAAAGTCCATAGTAATTGTCTAAAAATAACATTAAAATTCATGGTTGTTCAGTGACTTCTATGAAAATTCATATCATAGTTAAATAAAACATAAATGAAAGTGTATGGTATTTAATTCATGGGTACTTTTGTGATAGTTTGTAGCAGTTTTTCTATTGAATTAATTTTTTACAGTTTTATCCAATAAAAATAGTTTATTGCAGTCTAGTGTAAAAACCCCAATTGTTCATCATAGGTTCTGTTAAATCCTAATTGAAAATAAAAGCTCCAACATTAACAATTAACAAAAAATGATACCAAACAAAATGAGGCTAGATGTTGGATCTGCAGTCACATTGCAGGAATATAGAAGAGAGATCAAGCAAATAACATAATTGGTAGTCATTCTTACATCTCGGGTTAAGACATTGATCTAGCAAAGCAGCAAGTATCATTGAATCTAACCCGCCAGAGAAGAGAAGTGCTACAGGAACCAGTTCGTCTTCATCCTGTTCTGAATACTTCTGCAAATTTATTTCAATTTAATGGAAACAGGAAGCAGATATAATAACCTTGAAAGAAAAGGCAGAAATAAATTGCTTTTTGCACACATGTTTTTGCATTGATAACAGGAAACAACAAATTTAATTCTAAATAAGTTTAACTTACAAAGGGAAGTTGATGGCATAGAGTAGCAAGGGTGGTGCTAATTTGTTATGTTGCAGATAACTTCCTCGGAAAAAAAAGGCAATTAACACCCAATACTATTTGGTCAAGTAACACGTCTCACAAGAGCTATACCATAACCCTAATTTGCCACATATACCCGCATTCTACATGTGATTACTATATCAAACCCAAGAGCCAAGAGCAACCAGGCACCCCCTTATACAAGTGCATGGGGGACCATATGCAATAACGCTTTGATCTAGATCCATTAAACCAAATATAGCTTACCAAATACCAAATAAAAAGAAACACACCTCTATTTGGCTGTTACCTAAGGTCCAAGGATCAAAGGTTTAAATTGCAAAAGTTGGAGTATCAATCATTTATTTACACGCACAAGACAATTAAAAGAGAAAAAGAATTCATATTAACCAAACACAGGCAGCTAAATAAATCACTCCCCAGACAAATTAAAAGGGGCTGGTGTATCACGCCAGCCCCCTTGGTTGGTGGGGGCTGATCTGTCAAGCATCCAGCCCCGAACTTACAATCTAAAAATTGTATTTTGCAAAAAGTCTATTCCAAAAAATGCCATATTCCAACTAAACCCATAGATCTTCCTCCCCATTATCTCTATCTAAACCCAAAAACAAAATCCAAACCCATCCTCCCTCTCCAGAATCCAGTTGTTTCTCATCTCATTTCACTGTCGATTCAATTTTGGACAAACTGCGGTGAATAGCGATACAATTTTGGATGAACTGTAGGCTTATTGTTGGCTACTACAGTGAAGTTTGAACTTTAGGAGATAGAAACATTCACAAATTCTGTTCAAACTTACTTTTACCTTTCATCCATTGCTACTTCTTGCATATGCTTTTGAGGACTATGCCAGGAGTATTATGTTGGAGGAAGAAACTTATTTTTTATTCTGTATCATTTGAGATCAACTGACTATAAGCAAACTTACACATGCAGCCCATAAATTATCAAAGACAGTTGCTGAAATATCCCCATACAAGAAGTATCTCCATACAAGAAGTACTGTTATTCTTTGTAGTTCAGATGATTAACTTATTTTTTCCACATATGGACTGCCCAAATCAAGTTAATATTTCAGCATGTTCCATACAACATATCCATGATAAATAGACTCAATTTGGTTCCTTCAAGTTTGATAAAAGTAAGAGAGAGAAAGTCTTGGGTAAATTTTCCTTGAGTTGAATATTGAGTGTACACATATATTTATACAAGTAGAGGGTGAGGTGTGTTCTCACAACCAATGTGGGACTAAAACCCACTACAATACACTATTATCAACAGCCCCCCTCAAACTCCCTCAAACTCATGTTGGATCAAACAAAATGAGTTTGCGTACAAGAAACTAGAACCGATAAACAGGTAAGGCCTTTGTGAAGAAATCTGCAAGCTCGTCAGCGGATGATAGGGGTGTGCACGGTTCGGTCCAAACCGAAAAAACCGACCGAACCGACCAAAATTCAGCGGTTCGGTTCGGTTTTAAATCTCAAACGGTTCGGGTCGGGTTGAAAAGGTTTCAACCCGAAGAGACCGAACCGACCGCCCTATACCCAATACCCATTTTAATTTTAACGAAACCCCAGTGACCTAGTCCCAAGTCTCCCGACCCGTTTTCAGTGTTCTTCCCTCACTATAAACTCTTGAGAAATCTAAACCTAGCCGCCGCCGCTCCGT